TTCCTTTATTTCATTGGTTCCTTGAATGTCGTCATTATATTCTTTTATGTTTTTTGAACACCCAAGTTAATTTACGCGATTGAACAGGTAGAATTTAAAGTGTGTGTGAATTTCGAATGTACATAAATTCGTTTTCTGTTCACTGAATCCGGCCTTATTTTCAACGGTTTATCCATTTCACTGCTGCACCTTTTAAGGAGAGGTATGATCTTGAAACCGTGTATTTGTTATCTCAGCCATAAGAAAAATGGACTATGAAGATTCACAGATCACACACTGAAATTCGTAACTGTTTAAAACAGATCACCCAGAAAATCACAAGTAAGCGGTTAGGATGCGAAGCAAGATTCAAAATGGCGGCGCCCACTATCTTTTTGTTAACACATTTGAAAATAGTCACAAGAGGTTAAGTCATCCTGTTGAATCTCAAACAGGGGTAAATAACAAACTCTTGAAGAAACTTATTAATGACGAAGATAACAATATGGTCTCTTACATATTTCTCTTTTAACGGCCGGGAGGATTGGTTGAAAGGCGCATTTCGATTTATCGATTCATTCATTCACTTGTTTCAAGAAACTCGCATATTCTGAGTTATAAGAATCAATCAAGTGCCAATCAATTAAATTATTTTGATTTCCTCAGGACTCACGCAAACATTTTTCGAGGAAGAAAAAATCTAACTTTTCATAGTACAGAGTAGTGATCAATAAAGAAAACTTTTAAAAATCAAAGAGACAATTGGAATCATGAATGGCTATTTACAGAATCATGACATCAGCTTTGAACTCTTTAAATTCGTTCACTTGTTTAACACTTTCCACCGTAACATCAGTATGCATATTCTCCATAATGTTCACTATTCATTTCTTGAGTTCTTACAAGGAGAATTTGTGTAACAATCAAAAGTTTCTTTAGTTGGCGATCATTTCCTTGATATTCGTGGGTTTTTTTTTATTATTATTACTCAGGGGGTCATAAAGTAAAAGGGAAATTAGATGTTAGTCTCTCTTAGGGGTTAAAAGGGTTGATAAGTACAAAGAACTTCTCTGGAGCCATCTTATCTAAAACTTTCTCACAATAGCTACGTCACAGCGCATCCATCTTTCCTCTTCTCAAAATGGCTACCTTATGGCTTATGATCTCTTCATCAGCTTTTTCGTAGCTTCATCACGTTGATAGGCGATTCTCCGTGACGAGTGAAAAAATCGCGAGTAACACTTCAAATCAAGGCTTGTCTAAACTTGTATGATTTTAAATGATCTCGCTTGCGGTCTACCCTGCCTGTTACTGGTTTTGAGTTCAATTGTTGCTTCCAAAGAAGAACCAGCTCGAGTGTTATCAACAAGTAATGTCGCTGTGCGGTTCGGTAAAAGGGGCTTGAGAATATCCTTTATTCCTCTTCGGAAATCCTGGCTGAATATCAAATAGATACAGCAGTTGATGGCACTGTTTGCATGGCCGAAGAGAAAACCCGTGGTTTGTAGTCCTATGGAGATACCACAAGGCGAGAAAACGTCTGTGAAGTCCATCAAAATCACATTAAGGTGCATCAAAAACCAGCACAGCGCAAACGCCAGAACCACTGTAATCAACATCTTCAGTACATTTCTTTTTGACCTGTTCAAAAGCCGCTGGTTGGCCGGAGTAGCATTACCCGGTATATTCCTACCCCATACCTTGGCAATGATGATTGAGTACAATATAGAAATCAAAAGTAGAGGCAGGGCGTAAAGGAGTACAAATGACACAATGGTAAAGATCGATTGCGATCGTCTTGCGTCGAAAGCGGGGGCCCAGTCCTCGAGGCAGTAGGGAGCTCCGTCATAGATTTCCACTTTGGCTGCATACAACATCGGCGATGCTGAGGCGATTGATCCCATCCAAATGACGCCAATCAGCCATCTTGTTCGCTTGATATTAACTACTTTCCAGATTGGGAAAACAACTGCAAAGAAGCGCTCAAGTGCCAGTGCTGTTAGAGTGAATATGGAGCAGGCCATTGAAGAAGCTTGGGTGAACATAAACAATTTGCAGGATACTTGTCCAAAGAGCGAGTCGTTGACCCAGTCGTGATTCCCACGTAGAATGTTCACTGCATTAGGTATCATGGTTATAATAGCCATCAACAGATCCCCAACCTGAAAGATATATTGTTAGAATTAAAACCCTCCTGAGTAATATGGGGTGTGCTCATGCTTCCTGTAAGAGTCACTCCAGACGCCGTATTTCACATGATCCGAATTAATTTTGAATTTATACCGCCCAAAGTAATCTAAACCGATGCTGGGGAAGATTGGAAAGATTAATACGGCGGCTGAACTGCAGGGTTACCCCGAGTGTCGTTGAATAATGAAAACTCTCTCTGAATGAAAGAAGTCCTTAACGATAAGTCGAGTATCTGTTGCTATATTTTTTGGAGATGACTGCATCAATTTCTTTCAGTAGTTTTACATAACGATAGAATCATACCAAAGAAATGTTAACAATTGCACGACACTTTTTCAGCCTTTCTAAATGCCACAATTTCCTGGTTTTTTAAGAAGCTTTGTGATGACATGAGGTTATGCATTAAGCTCACCGCCATATTTGCAATGAGATAGTTGGTTGCTGTTCGCATTCGCCGATGCCTGAATATTATCCATATCACCGAGGTATTTCCAAAAAGGGCCAAAAATACAATGAACAGGTACACAATAGTCTTGATCCATTGGAGTACAGAAGAATTATCCCAATGAGGACATGTTGTCACAGATCCTTGGTTGCCCTCAACAGCCCCACTACTGTTGTTCATCTCGCTCTATGGAACTTGTACCTACTTAAATGATCACTTTCAGAAGTTTACCTGAAAAAAAAACAAAAACAAAAAAAGAAAAGAACTGGTAATCACAAATTCAAGTTACATACGGTGAACCAAACAATCGGCTCTTTTAAGCTAATCGCATGACTAAGACACCACAAGCGGCTGACTCAAGGATGACTCCTTGTTGGTTACCGAAAAGGAATTCATACACTCAGGCAAAAGTTTATCTTTAAAATCAGCACTTTGCATTGACCATTCTGTCCAGCTGTTTGATGCACTGCTGATTAACAAACATAGCCGCATATCCAGCGAAAGGTTAGACTGAGTAAGAAGTTTGAGGCGCAAGATGGAAAGGAGAATAATTTTTCTGAAAAAGAATGTAGAGAACCATCAAAGATAAGCAAGGTTTTCTTTGCAGCTGCTGTTGTTAGGTTCGCGTCGCACACAATTCACTTGCTTTTCTTAAAAGATGTTATTTTCGCACTTAGTCTGGCTAAAATTCAAGGAAATGTAACCCATGATTTTATCTCACTCAAGCTGTAGAGCTCTTGAACTCTTGTATGTCAGAATTTTCTTGTTTGTATATGAATTGAACGCTCCTTAATTGAGGTTTGACCGGCCACCTATATTTTCTCGCTGATGAACCCGTTAAAGGTTTCTGAAAATGTTTATTATGAAATAATAATGCCTTTATGTTAATTTATTTAGAGTTCCCTTTTCCATACAACATTTAAAGCTGACTTCAAAGCTGAGGTGAAATGCTTTAGTTTCATTTTAATTCTAACAATTAAATTTTCCAGAAGTTATAATCGCCCATGAGATTTGGGAAAGAGAACAAACAGTCACGTAACAAAAGAAGACCCTTTTCCAGTCCCATGTTACGTGTCTAGTATGTTTCGTAAGAATTAGGCTCAGAGAAAAGTTGACCCATGTAAAATGCTCTTGTAGCGCTGCAGTTCTGAGTTATATTTAAAAAAGTCAGAAGAAAACTACTTTTCGCTTCAGAATCTTCTTCAACTGGCTTCAGGCTAGTTTGGTACTTTACCAACTTAGGGATGTCAAATTTATAAGATGTCGCTTCTAGCTGTTCAACATTGTTATTCAAAGCTAATGTGTACCTCTTACAACCCCAACAATATTTACATCGCAAAACTGTACCTTATCAAACTGCGTTTACTTTACATCCTTGAGTTTTTGAAGATAAAAATAGCTCAAACAGGGCTATGATAAACAAAATGGAAAATATGTATAGAACTGATCCTCACCGGCAGGTGAACTGCGATTAAAGACATTTCAGAAAGGAAATTTAACATGAAAAGTGACATTCAGTTCCGAATTGGTTGAAACAAATTTTCCATTAGACTAAAGACAATTAAAGAAAGTAATTTTCATTTTAAGTTAACATTCACTGCCGAAAGTTATTTACATTTGTTTCTCTATAATTTCGATGATTTTTTTTTCTTTCTTTTTTTCTCTAAACTTTCCCAATTGCTCCACTTGACCCTAGTAAGAAGCAATTCTGGCCATGGATAAAAAACAAAAACGGTTCAGAGTTGATGAAAACAGTTGTTTTGAAACGAGAGAAGAATCACCAAGACAATCTTGAGATAACAATCATTTTAGCGATTGATGGTAACTGAATTCCATTTGTCATTAATACACCCTCCCTCATCACTCAATTACAGCGGATGGAAGCAGTGAATTCATCCCAGTCAAATTTTGTGGATGACACATAGCGTTTTTATTCATTACTACTTACAAACATAAAAACATTGAGTAATATATCAAGAAGAAGCCTTAAAACGATAACTGAGTTTTAAAAGGAAGTTTTCTAGTTGTAAAGTCTCGTCTATTTAGTGTCGCGGAGACATGTTTTTATCAACCGCAACTGAAGCGTTTATGACCCGGGGCTGTCCAGATGTACATTTGCGTTTGAATGAACCGCCTGGTATTTTGAAAAGAAAAAAAAACAGATTTCCTTAACAAAACTCAGTGTTGCTCAATACAAAGACATAAAGCACCCGGGAGATCTTACGTAAAGGAAAGATTATAAGAGTGAAGTTCTCATTATGTGGTAACTCCTGATTTACATTTTGGCGGCACCTCAGTTATGGCTTTTTTGAAGCGATTTCCTTCCCCTTAACTGAAAAGGAACTGCATTTGGCTTAAGGTTTGTAGTTCATTTGATGTATTTGGTTTTCAAATAAGCCTTATTTTGCGGCCATTGAGCAAAAACAACTGCCGATTTTAGCCGAAGTTTATAGTGAGGGATATATAGAGATTTCAAATACATCCACGTCACTTGTGAGCAAGAGGTGAAACTTAAATAAATGACCGCATAGGGAATTTTCAGACCTATCAAAGATTCCTCCTCACCAAAAATCCAGTTTCTTATAGCTCGGTTTCATTTTAAGACTCTATGGGCAAGTGATATCAGTCAAAATATGACCCGTGATGCAGTATTAGAGCGATCTATAATGATTTGAAAATAGGCCTTTGAAAGTCAAGAGTGCTTTCTTGGTTCAAATTGATGTCATTGATTTAGGGGTGCTTTTTTTTGAAGTAAACATGTAAAGCTCATTTCATAGATCGGCACAAGCTATAGGTTTTGACCCAGATGTTTCTCGTTTAAAACGCATGACGTAAAAAAATGAGTATAGCGAACATAACTGTTACTCAATACGGTGCGATATAATGACTCAGTGAAATTTTGAGTTTTTTTTTTCTTATAAACTTTGTCTGTATTTCTTTCTTTATACAACTCGTAGAAGTTGCTATTTTTGTAACTACCTTTAAACGCGCGATATGTTCATAAAAACAATAAAGTAGGGTAGAATAATCTCTAGGATTTATCCAACCACGGTTCCATACGCTGGTAATAGTTTCTGAGAAAATCACCTTTCACTTCAGAATTTCAGTTATAATTTTGCACCTTACTATAACGAATTGCATTGTTACAAGCAGATACTGTTTTGAGCTATGACTCATTAACGCAATTAGAAAATATGTTGTAAGAGTGGACAAAGATGTGTGGGAAAACAGCAATGTATTGGGCTATAATTTTTTTTTTTGATTTGAAGGTTATGGAGTCCGTTAATATTCACTCCATATCTGTGAAATATCAGTGTACAATCAGTCCCTCGAAATTGAAATCGTTTTATGATACTGTTAAAACTATCATTCTTGTCAGTTCACTGATCGTAGCTCCGATGCATTGGTAAGATTATGAAACCAAATTGTTTTTCTAAGCATGCGCATGACTGTGGCTAGTTTTGTAATTTACACTTGTTTGCAATAGCTCGTCATATGACCAATCTTCTCCGTGAAGACTTATGATCATGTTGCTATGTTTTTAGCCCAGTAACAAATTCCATGTGGAATTTACTCTAAATTTAGTAACAATTATTTTGTCCCCACGATTAGCATTGGCCCGCTATAGAACAATTTAAATTTGCTGTTGTGTAAAAAACTAATGGGAGAATCAAATCCTCGGACTCCCCCAGCATTAGTTTAAGCTTGGGGTGGCACCCAGTTCTATTTTTTTTACCAATGTCATGAAACAAAAGCCAACGAGCTAGACTGTGAAAATGGTAATAATGGTGATGATAATGATGATGTTAATAATATCACAAAAAATATTAAAAATCATTATTAGTTGCTGTACTTCATTTTGACTCATGGGTCTTCACCTACCAACAAGCTAAATGTTCAAGAGGAGTTACAAAACAAGAATAAAACAATGACACAACGACTCCATTTACACCAAATTATCTGCTCAAATCAAGCAAAGGAGAGCTTAAAAATGTAAAGAAAGAGTATACAAATCAGGTGGGACCGTTCTGTATGCATATTTCACTCTTAAAATTGACTTTTCTACAGCTTTATAAAGTTGAAATTTAAGTTGTTGACTGCTATGCTGTTAAATATTCTTAGTAAGGTTCTGAAAAGTACCCTGATTTGTATGATCACCATGCAAATGTCAAACCTTCAACTACGAGTGGCATTTGGGCAATGATGGAAATGATTACTTACAAACGTAATGATTGAAATTCTTAATTTCTTTTGTACAGGTTAGCCGATCCTTCGGTAGCGTGCAAAGGGGCAAAATCTACAAGACCCATCCAAGAAGTGAAACCGTATCTTCTCAAAAATATTTATCATTTTACACAATGTAGCCCTGTTACGTCATAATTCTTACGAAGACATCAAGAACGGAGACATTGTCGAGGTAGCGTCAGTTTGTGAGGCTCTAAGGAATTTTTTCCATCACCATGCAACTCAAAGCTGGAGCCACGAGGTCGGTCCAAAAAACCACAGGTACCATGTAGTACTTAATACGCTTGAAAGTTGATTGATCCCCAGCTTTTTATTATTATTATTTTTTATCTTTTTGGGCAGAAAAAAACGCAAAGCCGGATGTAATTTGTAGGGGAAAATCTAGACTATGTTTACGGAAATGACATTTTTTTCTCTCAATTTGTGAACTTAGCGAAGGCAATTAAATCTAACAAATATGATTTGTCATGCACTTCAATCTGGTGGCTGAAATAGGCCAGTATCATGCTCTCTATGTACGTAATTTAGATGGGAAAATGTTCCTTATCATTTCTTTTAAATACCGCGGTTCCACATTTTATAAAGAAACACCTTCGTGGTTTTATCTCTCATTTGATAACACAGACTTCCTAAATCATAGCTTTCGGTTAATCTTAACCATAAACCGCATTTTACCACCAGATGGCTCCTTTCATGTTTACAAAATTAAAACCACGATTGAGAAGGCAAACCGCGCCTCAGAAACTCTGATATTTACAAAAAGCAACGAGTATTGTAAACCTAGGACAAATATTGACCTAATCCGAATTTAGTCACTTTTTCACAACAAATATTGTCAGGAAATATCACAAAATCACTGAGAGTTTGTTTTTCTGCAGACTGGTGTTTGTCTTTTCGTTTTATTAAATAACAATTCTAATCATCGTGGTGTGATAGGCGTTATTCATCAGCTAAAGTAAAGTCAAAATAAATTAGCATTACAAGATTGATCCGGAAAATAATAAAATTAGGATTTTTGCCAGATACAATCTCTAAGAAGTGGCTTTGTTACATGTCTCTTCTTTCTTTATAGGAAAACAATATCAAAAAACACACATTTAGGAGGGAAATACGCTTTCCTCTTACATCTTTAAGGTTGTTCGATTAAAAAAGTTGCGAGTTGCTGCCATTGATTTTTTTTCATCTTTCGAAAATAAATACACTTTGGATTTTGCTAAAAAATCACTACGGCATGTTACGTTTTGATACTAAGTGGCTTGTGCTAAAAAAGTATCTTGAGCCAAAAACGTGGAGGAAAGTATAAAAAATTGAAATTGCCACATTTTCTGTATACTGAAGCGCACTAATTACAAGATAATTTCTCGCAATTTTTATTCTATTGAGACAAGGTCCCTTGCGAAAGAATTTTTTTATCTTCTCGTAACTTTGTTCGTAAAATAAGTTTGGATCAAAGCATATGTTTACCTCAAAGATTTGTCACGGTTTTTGAAGCAGCCACAAGGAATCTTCCGTATGAAAATACAAACGCTTCCCGGACCAGCCCTATTTTCACCGTCGATTTGCGTGAAGACGAGAAAGAAATAATTGTGCAAAACAAGGAGACTTATGTGGCAGTTATCAGTCGTTGGATGTAATAAGAAACGGGGAAATGTGAAACTCACCTAGCCAGACTTTTCATTAGCTAGCTGGAGGTTGACAGATGACACAGTCACAAAGGGAACTGTTGAATGGCCGAGCAAACATGACCCTTTCCTGTGCAACATGCCACTTTTGTTTGTCGATGGAAATTTATTAAACGCCGCAAACTGACTTTTCCTGTTGCTAAGTGTTGCCGTTTTAGTAATCTGTGTTCCACCCCATGATGCACTGGGACCTTGCGTTAACGCAAGATAAATAGTTCGGATAAAGATCAGTGTCGTGGCTTACCTCGTTCGTCCTCCCGGCTTGATCAGCCACCGATTGGTCAAATAGTTACGGTCAAACCCTTGTCACACTTACTAGGATACAGCTGCTATGAATAAAATGCTTTTATTTCGGGGTTAAAGCTTGTTTTTACCGCACGATCTTAAGTCCAAAATGACGAAAATGGACACGTAATTTTGTTTACTCCGTTTGATGGCATGAGTCGATTTGTAACTGTAAGTTTTATGACAAATGTGCTTCGTTACAAAAGTTAAAATGAAAATTTTCGGAGCATTTTGTAATTCTGCGACTCTCAAACATCAGGCTATACGTCATGTCAGTCATCACAGTTCATCAGGTTACAAGTCTCAATATGCAGGCACTCAAGCCTTCGGCCGCTATATTGAGAATAAGACCGCGATAAAAGATCAGCGCTGAAAATGAGAGCGAGATGAGGAGACTTTGATTTCCACCCTTACTTGATAGTAAAGATAGATCAATTCGAGCCTGGGTACATAATTTAGCGGTTTTTCCGAGCTTTCGTTCACTGCAAAACAATACGAAGAGTGTATTTGTTGCTATTGAATAAAACATGCGCGAAATTTGCGAAAAAAGAAAACTTGAGCCGAGTCCGCCATCACATCCCTCGTCTTCATAACTCAATGAGAGAAACCGCGTGTCGTTTCTGTTATTTTTCATGGTTAAAGAACAGGTTTATGCAGGTGATCCGAGACAAGATCTCTAGCTTTCTTTAACATAGTATTTACTAAAGAAGAGAGCTATGCCACAATTTTTTTCTGGGTACTTAAGAACGAACAATTTCCAGCCGATGTTTGAGCAGAGTTGAAGATTATTGGAAACGTTTGAAGACGGTTCTTATTGAACAGGGTCACCATACTCTGCACAGTATTGGAACAATGTTGGCTCTATGTTGGAACAGGAGCGCATTATCGGACCATGACTGGAGAGCCCAGGGTGGCTTTGTTTTGTAAGGGAAGTCGGGGCCGTACTGGAACGGGATTCGCGTATTTTATGGAGGAGCGAGGGTGGAATTTATGTGTGGACAAAGTGAAACGGAAGGGTACGGCTACACGTAGGCTATATAGAAGGCTGAGTGTTGAAATATGTCAAATACGCCCTGGAGAGTATAGTTTTTTTCATCGTTGAGCTATAAAAAAAATTGTCGTGAATATATTTTGAAATCTGTTGGTAGAGTTTGAGAGATATCTTAATAAATACATAACATATCTGAGTCTAAGACCAGCCTTGGTATCTTTTTTCATTTGTTGGACTCAGTAATTTAGTTTTAAAGAAAAATACATTCCCCTCTCGGTGAGTTTATCTTGTCGCATCCGTGGGCTGTATTGCGGGGCCCGGGGAGAGGGCTGTCAAAGACCACGGAGGGCGATGGGAATGAGAAGGCGTAACTTTTTTTAACTTCAATCTGGTTACTGGTAGTGTCTCAGCGGATGAGCGAGGGTGAATTATTGACGTAGTAAACCTTCTACCGAAAGCCGAGTGGATCGTGCATGTGCAAATCAGGCAAAAGTCAGATTCAAAAGGTCTGCATAAAATCACGTTCCGCCAGCTTTCAGGTAAGTAAAGAATAGCTCTATTTACATAATCATAAGATGCTTAATGTTTCGCCAAAAAACCTACGAGCTACTCAAAAGTAAGGATATGACTTTAAAGGAAGGCAAGAATACCAAGTGGGAAGATGGGGACTTTATTAAGTGCCAGTGTTTCATCAATATCTTGGTAATTGCTAAGCGCGAGTGTTCGTGTCAATTAGCAAAGCGTTGAATGGCTCAGACATAAAAGTAGACTACGACATACGTTTTCAATATTTGAGAAGCATTTAGAACATAATCTCTTACCGCGTGCGGATTGATTAGAGTCACCAGAGCTGATTTCAAGTATTCTATAACGAGTGTTTTCTTTTCTTAACCAAACTGGAGCTCTTCTTTGTTGTGTTAGTGCGATCTAAATTTTAGGAAAGTTTACACCAGTCCTGATTGTTTAATTGCTAGATTTTCAATAATCTATTTGAGGTTTTGCAATGCTACTGCGAAACTTGATGGTTATTATGGTAACTAATGCAGTTTGAGTCCTGTTGTTTTTCAAAGGAAGACTTAATGTCTTCATTGAGCAGCATCACATAAATTTACCACTCTAGATTGCAGGCTATTATCATGAGCGCTCTCTTTTAAAAACTTCAATCAACTTTAGTGGAGTGCTATTGTTCATTTATGAATGCATTGATTGATTTGGTTAATGTTGAACTCAGGATGCCGGTTTTCGTAACAGATCTCTGAGCGTCGTGAGACTTTACTATCACGTACAGTCCAGTTTTCAGTAGCGAAACCCAATTACAAACCCCTTAAGCTATATCTGTAGACACATGCCGATCGGATATAAAACGATTTTCAAAACAAAAGTCTTGAAAGATCTTTATGTTCAATATCACAGACACTGCAGTAACAATAGCGAATGAAGAATAACAATCATTTCACAAAAGCTTCTCGAGGTTGATTTTAGGATAGTATTCCATGTAAAAGGTGTCACCATTTTTTTCCGAAAAGCAAATAGTCATTCTGTGTATGTTTTGTTTTCTCCACAACTAATGATGTGTACTATTCGAAGCAAAAAGGCTACATTATCTAACCCGAACGCGGCAGTTTGGGAAAAAGGATAGTAATTGAATAACATTTATACTGTTGTAATATACAACTAAAGATTTATTATTTATTCCCAACTGAGATTTCTGAAAATAATTTAATGGGAAGTATGTTTTTTATTCATTGAGGTTAAGAAAATAAATAAAAGCCTTATTTCAGATTCGCCTGTAGTTATTGATCGCGACTTAACCGATGCTTTACTGCTTTTTTGTACCCATAACTAAACATTGTTTGAAACTGGATCTTAGTAAAGTAACATAAAGACACATCGTTATACTTAGTCATACTGCTAAATACGGTGTTAGAATGCTCATTCCCTGATAGAAGAATGGCATTTGTAGTTGTAAACACGTCGATACAAGCGATTGAAAGTTCATTTTTCTAAATAATAGTAGTTAAGATGTTAATTTTTTGAGGTTGACATCGTGGGTCAACTAATGACATTGTTGATTTGTACGGCAGAGTTGGTTCATGACGCCCCTGAAGTTGTTGATTTTGATCATTGGTGCGATGTTTTGCGTTTCACACTGCGCAATAAGACAATAAATTACTTTCCCGCTGAATGCGCTGATTGCTCCTCTGTATTTCTGTGTGAGAAACACACACCTGCAGCTTTTGTTTTCAAAATGACAAGTTAATCAAACACTTTGTTTAAACAAATACATTCTCCGCTCTCTGCAGAAGATTGTCGGCCGGAAAATGAAAAATAGCAGCGGGAATCGTCGAGACAATTTGAACTAGCTTAAACAAAATGGAGTTCTCCTCACCAACCACTGTGTAGTATATTATTGAATAAGATCAGACTTTTCAAACTTCACTGTGGGGTTACAAATTCATATCCCATTTAAGATCTATACTGATTACACTAGCAGTTCATTATGTATAATTTGGTTAGTACAGCTAGAAAGGAATCAAGGAAAGAGGTTCTGAAATAACTTAAAAGGTAAGGCAAAACGTTCTACGAATTCATTGGGAAGATAATGAAAAAAATTTTTATTCAATTACTCAGTTTGGGACGAAGAAAACCTTAAGGATTTTAACTTAACCCTGAGAGGACCAATTTGCAAAAACTTACCAATTTATCTCTAGAATTTAAGAGCTAAAGGCACGAAGAGTCTGTCTCCTTTGCTAACGTTCTCTAATTTAAAAATCAGTATTTCAAGTAACGTTCAGTTTTTCTTGCTATTTTAAGAGTTTAGTTCGAGCTAAAAACAAATTTCTCAGCAAACGAAGATGATTGTTGGTACAGCAATTAACGAGCGAAAATATTAAATGGATTACTTCTGCCACCCTTCTTATTTTAGAAATATCTCAAATGAGTTCTGTTGATTATTTGTTTAGTATGTTTACAGATGATATTGGACTAGGAAAATGTTTGTTAACAGCACATTAAAGTGAGTAGTGTTCGACCTGAATTGGAAAATATCCTTCTATTGTGTTTCTCTGAAAATTTCAAAATGTATTGTTCAAGGTGAGTTAAAAGTTGCCTTTGATGTGCCAGAGTCGTTCTATTTTCCGAACTGTGCAGCGTTTCGCAGTTCTGAAGTTGAGACACGCGCATTTTGAACCCAAAAAACAAAATTCATGTTGTCAAAATAATTGTACATGAAGCACCCTCTTGATTGTACTTGAAGCATGGGAAAGAGACATCAGTTCAATTACACAAAATAAAGATTGGAAAAGACACTATAAACACATCACAAACCCAAGTCATTAGCTGATAATGAGAGTCTGGCTTTTAAATAACAATGTACGAATACTTAAGTTCGACGCGGTTTAAACACGGTGAAATTTCTTTTTGTCTGGCCGCGAAATCATTTTTTACCCGTTAACAAGTTTTCCTGTCATATTTCACATTCCTATTCTATTGCCTCATGAATGAGTAACCTAACGACTATAATCCACCATACAATTTAGACGAGGGACGACCCTTGCTCAAACAATTTATCAAAGTTAAGCTTGCGAAATCTTTAGCCTTACAGCTGCAACAATAAATTATTACCGCACAGAGAGGCTCTCAATTCTAATTTTGCTTTCAATATGACAAAATTTACTAGAATCTTTCCTATATGTGCATCAATTTTACTTTTTTCTACGCCTTTCCCTTTTTGACTTACTCATTCCTAAAGAAACGGGTCCAAAAATGGTTTACACATGAATTTTTCTAACCTCCAATACGTAGATGGCGTCTGTTGTTGGCGATCCTGTCTCAGTGAATTAGTTAGAGCGTCGACGGGCCAGTTTCGCCTTTGAAAACGATGACTTCAGTCGCTTTATCTTTAAAACCAACAACTCACTTGAATGAGCAATACAGGTTATTCCTTTATAAGAATTATATGTTATTGCGTATGAAGAACGCTTTCAGGAATTGGAAGACATTGTCAGTTATGAGGGGCGATTCACTTATCTTGATATTGTCGTCAGTTCCGTCTTGTAATCCCTTTGTCTTGACATAAAGATGCATTTTTAAGCCTAATGCAGCGTCTGCCGATATCAATCCAATTTGATCTGAGTTTTTGGCAGTACTTAGGATTGTCATAAAATGAAAATGTTTTTGTTTTTAGGCAATAGATCACAGACTATCTGCCAGCACCAGTTAATTAGGGGAGCATTTTAAAAGGGTCAAATGATGTTCACTTGACTCGAAGTTCCCTTGCCAGGCATATTTTGACGGGTTTGATTCATTGTATCGATAACACAAAAACTTTTTTTCATCATTTCTACTCTTTATCACGGATAAATGTTTTGGTTTGACACTTAAAAATTTGAGATGAAGGCTGATTTAAAAGAGAAGGTTATGCTAGCGCTGCTGATCACAATGGCCTTTGCCATTGTGTTGCGATGCCATTCACGGAAAACGTTTCGACGCCAAAACCTCGGGAATTTTGGTGATGAAATATGCAATCTCTGGACAGCCAATTAAAACAAGTATCTCAGTATCAAGTATGTTTGCTAAAAAAGTTGGCAAAAATGAATTTTGGAACTTCTGCTGACGAAAATGAATAAGTATTTCGTCATACGTCTACTAAACCTTAGTAAAAGCTCAAACACTCTTAATATTGCGGTATGAGCCCAAACCATTTTTTTAAAGCTAACTTCCTGTGTTGACCTGTGATGCTATCACAGTCGACCCCCGCTGCAACGGTCCCCTGCAGAGCGGAGACTAGAATTGAGCCAGTTTCCAAGCATTTTGCCACGCTGTTCGCCAGTCTTTGATTAAATGGTCGTTGTTGATTTTAGCAGATGGAACGTCTTGAGGAGGCTGTTTGCGTCGTGGGAAGTGGCCCCTTGTAGAAAGGTTGATAACAAAAGGAAATTTATGGCTTGCTTTCATAAAATACTATCAAAGAACAAGATGGGCTATTGACGTTCCGTGCCTAAGAACTCCAAAGGCTTGAACTTGACAAGTGTAAAATGCGAAAAAATAGCTTGTCCAATTCGTGTGAGTACACAGGTTTAGCCATGCTGAGCTGCATTTTGGTGTTGGCTGTGACGGAAGGCATATCGTTCCACGCTAGAAAGATAGTGTCTTACTGTTACTTAGTCTCCTTCCCCTCCAACGGCTCTCTAACCCTAAGCCATCTGCTGGGCAAAACGTCGGCGAAGGACTTTTTCCTAACGCAATTTTTACAACACTCCCCACCGATGCTTTTTATAAAAATTTTGCGGAAGGCTCAATTTATCTTCGGAAATCAAGTCTATGTGAAGTCCTGTCTTTGTCTTAAAAAAAGAAATTACTACTGGCGAAGTAGCTTTTTGTGCCAAAATGAAGAAACTGAAGAGAAGGAATCGAAGAATGATTAAGCAAGGTGATATTTAACACGGGCCAGAGAAGTATTTTTTGAAAATATATGGGCTAAACTTTTAGAGATGCGCAAACAAACAAACTATTACTATTCCATCATACATAATTTTTTTGAGCTAAAACGGCGTCTGAGATTATAGCTGTAGCATTTGTCCAATTCGCCTTACATTCGAGTTTTGGTAAGTAGACTCAGAATAACTTAAGTTTAAAATTTTGAGAAACAAGGGCTTTCCGAAACGTTCCGTGAGAATCAAAGAAAATCATTAGCACTTGCTTTTACCTTTTCATCGCCATGGCTCAAAAATGGAATTTCAACAAATAGACAGATTTCATTCATCCTGTCTTAATTAGTGCAGGAAACATCACAAAAGCCTCTGGTGAAACTGAAACCAAATTGACTTACGATTACCCAGTCACTTACATTTCAGGAAATTACCAGCGGAATGGTATACAACACTAAGGAATCGACCGGTGATAAGGACAGGAAACGTCAATGCATGCACCATTCATTGGTCGAAACTAAAAAGGATAAGGGCACGTGTTTGATAGTTGTAGATTTAAGCGTATGTGATACGTTTGTGATTACTTTCAGATGTTACTGTAATTGATATTCATGGTGTTAATATCGTATTTTGAGGCTTAATCAAATCATGCGCAGATTTTGGTAGCGATTATTCATATTTTGTGTTTTGAGGTGAATTTGATGGCTCAACAATGGAAAATTTTTCTGTTTCGCCAATACAAGTTCATGGCTTTATGATCTGAACAACACTGCGAACGGTAAAAGCGGAGACTTATAACGTTTTTGAGATCACCTTGGTCGTAACCACAGTGTTCTTACTTTTGGCCGTATATCTTCGCCTAATTCTATCGAGTTCTCGCTTATTTTCTGCATGAGCAACCTATCAGTTCATCGATGCAGGGTCAATTAGAATGACACTGAGATCACATCCGTTCGCTTGACATAAAACCTGTTCATTTGACCAGCTGTCACTCTAATGCTTTCTGTGCCGGCCGAGTATATGAAACAAACTCACTGTACGAATTAATCACAGACTAAGAGTATATCTTCCTATCCAATACGTTTTGGTTTTTCTGTTGGAAGAGTTGGCTGTTGCTGTTGCCTAAGCGGAGTTACATGATCAGACTCCTGACAAGTGTGCAAGATATATCTTTTTAATATCCTTTCGCTCAGTGTTTCAAAATGGCGTCGAAATTCGGAGATCGGTGAGTTGCTCCATAATTAGGAACACTTCTTTCAGAGAGAGTATCTCTTCGAATATGATAGGCTGAACAAGTGTATTCCAGTCACAAAAATTGAGAATTTCCTGTATTTCAAAGCAAATATTCCCTTTTTATTTTAATTTATATACTAACTTAAGTTTCAAATTAAAAGAGAAGTTGAAATATTTTAATCAAGAAATACGCTACTGATTTAGGAAAGAATATTTTGACTTAATCTATTTTTTTTCCATTTGATTTAGCAACAATTTCTTTTCTAAGAAGAAACTATATTGAAATACTCTTTTTCTTCTTTGCATTAAACAACTTCCCGATGCAATAATCCTCGGAACAATCGTTGGATTAAGGGTGAAACACTTGTAACACTTGTTGTGAAGTTAAACGCCAGCATATGAAATTACTGTGCATACACAAAGAGCTTCTGCTTCTAAGTAAGAGCAGGGACACACTCTTTCATTCAGGATTCAGGTACCTAAGGTGAAAAGAACTTTTAGGTGACGTTTAACAAAGTTCTCTTTACAAGGTCACAACAGATACTGGAAACGAAATACTAATACTTGACATTTATTTTTACATTTTATACGATTCTCAGATGGAAATTAAGTGATTGAAAATTCCTTACCAACAGTGCGAAAGATATCAAGAGAATGACGAACGGCACAAGCTCAAATGCGACAATGACATCTCCAACGCCCTCTGACTGCATGAGATTATTCACTCCTACCGAAGAATGGCTCCAAGTGTCTTCATTTCTGATCATTATCTTCTTCTCCATTATTGGAAATGCTGTCGTTATCATCATTATTAAGAAAAAAAGGCACATACACACTCCAACAAACTACTTTATCGTGAATTTGTGCACTGTGAATCTGTTGATCTTGTTGCTCAATGCAGTTCCATACATCCAGGGAAGAATTGCACCACACCTAGGATTTGTGGTTTCTGGTAAGAATTCGTCTTGGTGTATGTCGATTTAGGAAAATGGTGGTGAATATCAATTCTCCTTGTTTTTGTGTTGTTGTTTTTTGAGAAACGCAAGATTCTTAAGCTAGGAGCTTACTGTAGTCGATCCAAGTTTTTTAGAGGCATAATTGGGTTATGTACACTTGCTGGATGATATCTTTCTGCTGTCATAATGTGCCGATAAATTCGATGCTTTAACATCCCCCCTCCCCTCCCTCTTCCCCCCCATCATCTTATACAATAAGTTCTCCATTATTTCACTTCGGTTAGCCAAGACACTTTCCTGTGCATTCTTTGCAGGTTGGCCCGGAAAGATTCTTTGCAAGCTGCAAGCGTTTCTTACATCTTGTACAATAAATTCCGCCATCTTGACGCTCGCAATGATTGCTGCTGATCGATTTATTGCCATATTTTTTCCCCTGAAAAGACTAATTCATTCCCGAAGAGCGATCCAGCTGATCTTTGTGGCATGGCTTATTCCGGCTTTACCAGGGTGCATCTTTCTTTACGTCAATGACCTCGTTGATTTCGATGGAACTGTGTACTGTATGGAAATATGGGAACCGGCCATCCCAATGTACTATAACACAATTTATACAACAGCCGATTTCATCATGTTTTATGCCTTGCCTTTGTTGGAAATCATCATTCTTTACATCGCCATCATCTACAGGATATGGATGCGAAGGATTCCAGGGCACGTGACTACAGCCAATCAACAAGTCGAACTCAAAGCCAAAAAGAATGTACTTAAGATGCTCATCGTAGCCGTTCTTACGTTCGCATTATTCTGGCTTCCTGTAAAAATAAATGTCATGATTGGGCTTTACAGCCATGCTCCCTGTGTGTTAACTCCTATTCGTCGATTCCTGGCACTCTTTTTGGCCTGTGGTAACTGTGTAATAAATCCAATTATCTACATTGTATTCAGCCAGGACTTTAGAAACGGTTTCAAGGCTCTCTGCCACTGCCTACCCTGCTTTTCTGCTGATGTTCCTCGTGTGCACAGCCAATCCAGAAATGTGAGCGAGATAAGCTTCTCTGTAAAACACAATGGTCACAGCGGTCTTAGCCTAACGAAATTTCAGAAGATTGACGACTAGAAGAACTTCTTCTTGCAGCTACAGAAAAGCTATCAACGAATGAATTACACGCTCTCTGTATTTTGGATTGGTATTCAAAAATATAAAAACAATCTGGAAAGCGTAATAGTGCGAAAGAATTTTAGTTCCTACAACGAACATGAATGCATTCATGGAAATTCACAAGCAGCTCTGATCTCACACGTAATAAGTATTATTGCTCAAGTAAGAGATGACAATATTTAAAATTTGGTTTACGCACGATGTCTTTCCTCTTCCAGGACTGTCGTGACATTTGAAAAATAGATTAACCCTTTAACTACCAAAAGTGATTTACATGGAACTTCTCCCTATAATATTCATACATTATCCTGCAAAAAGGTATCGAGAAAACTCTAATTTATCAGGTAAAAGTTGTTATCTTGACCTAACCCTTAAATCTCATAACAGATTTACAAGGAAATGTATAGCAACTAGAGGGGAAAAGGTGGTGAACTTAGCTTTTTTCCTGGTGGTCCGAAAAGTTTCTTCTTTCTTGACCATTTTCAATAGAGCTGCCAGAAATTAGATCTCACATCAGAGGGGAAATTCATCTCTTATTCATAGAAATATGCTAGTAAATATGAGAGCTTTCTATGCAAATACGCAATTGTTAATTACATGAGGTGGATAAAAGTTGGAGTTTCTATTTTCTTTGAGTTCTGTTGCTAATAGCACTATCGTGGGTATATTTACAGCCTCATTTTGTCTTCATCAGGTTAATTTTATATCTCAGATATTAAGCACTTTCTCCATGAAATTTACCAGTTGGCACCGCTAAACGAGGCTTGGGGTGAGAGAAGGGGATAAGTTTTCTAAAAAAAACTGTGGTACTGCATCGGTGGAAGAGTATAACTGTGTAATTTTTTTTCATCAACTGAGTAGATAACATCATAAACTGGACACCGTAAAAAGTTTCAAAGCTGACGTTGGGAGCGTTAGCCCTTCGTCATTCGCCCTGACGAAGAACTAACGCTCGCAACGTCAGCTTTAAAACTCTTTACGGTGGCCAATTTATGTTATCAACTCAGTTGATAATACCAAGTTACCCTGTTGGGATAAGACCGATGGATTCGTTCGATGTACATATACATAAATGAAGGCTACTGCTCTCATGAACAAATGGAGGTTACAATAGAACATTTTAATTACCAGAAGTTATTAATTAGCATGTAATAAGAAGGTAAAATAAGTACAAGTAATTTTTCGATCAGACAATGAATAGATTTAATATGGCAATAAATAAAAACCGTAACATAGGACGCTTAAAATGTTAAGGATAACATGTGCAGTCAGATCACGTGCCCTGGTCGTATTATGCTTTTCCTAGGTTGCGCTATAACGATGGTGTAAATGAACTTGTAAATATCTTTATGTGATTCATAATTAAAATGGTAACTGAAACACATTCACAAACATTTTCAAAAAGATTAGATAAATTAGTGGCTAATTACGTAAATTTACAACAGTTTTCACGGATTAATGAAATTGAAATCAAAGGCCTCTGTACAGTTATGTGCTATACGATTATTTTGTGTCAGATTTTTTGTATGGGATTCATGTCTGACAAGCGAATGAAGATCAAATTTTTACATGAAATTTATCTCTCCAAAGAAGTATTTTTTTTTTTGTAGATTATTTTTTTGTCATCGATGCAAATATGATTTTATTTCTAACTGGTGCTAAGGGAGCAGTTCGCGTATTCTAGTTAAAACCCAAAGCTGAGCCAATCGTCGGTCTGCGTTTTAAAAACTGCCTCATTCATACGATTTGAGGGATGTAAGCTGCTTTCCATTTGTGTAAAAGACGATGCGTAAATTTGTCACGTGCAGCATATTCAATTTATAATTCTCCATGTTTTTTTCTTCTACTTCGGGTAGTTCATTTAACAGTTTGAACGAATGTAACCTGCAATCAAGCGCCCTTTTTCTGGGGTGGGGTGGGAGGGAGGGGGAGGGGGGAGCGAATGGCCACCTGGTCAGCAGGTGAGAACCCAGTGTGTCAGGATGGTGATCGCGCATTTCCAAATATTCATCAGTTGGCTTTCTCACGTAAACTTAAATCAAGAAATGATATACCCTTGCTTAAATCCGCTGTTGGTTTGGTGCAGAGTTTGTCTCATAGGTGTTAATTCTAGCTCCCTAAAGGTCCGCAAGGATGGATAGCTGATGAGTGTAATTCTGCTAGAGTACATGCGCAGTTTATTCGACTTGCAAGGAATGCAGCAGCGCTTGAGGACTTTTTTCATGCCCTTCTGGTATTCACTGTTAAATATGATGTAGATAAACGGGTTAATAGAGCTGTTTGCGTCACCAAAAAAAAGCCCTAAGAAAGCTACGTATTCTGGGGGATAACATTTGCCGTTATTTTCAGGAACAAATTGAATCATAAGGTAAATATAATAGGGGAGCCAACAAAGTGTGAAAATAAAAACCACTGTCATACAAATCTTCAGTATTTTCCTTCTTGTCTCAAGCTCAAGCAGTTGGTTTGGCGCTGTGACATTTCCTGGGACTGTTCTCACCCAAAGTTTAAATGCAATAACCGAGTACAGAATGGCTATCATCAGAAGAGGTGCGACATACAGTAAACTGAATAGAGCCAGAGTGTAATGTCTCGGCGATGACGCATTGTCGAAAAATGGCTCCCAATTCTCAATACAAGAAAAGGCACCTTGCCCTTCGTGAAGTCTCATAGTGTAAAGCATCGGTGACGCAATAGCGAGGGACGATCCCCAAATGAGTAGCAGAATGATAACCACTTTGGTTTTGCTTGCCGCACGACGCAGTGGAAACATCACTGCAAGAAATCTGTTGATGGCGATGGCAGCTAAAGTGAGAACGGTACAAGCTTGCGCTGTTCCTTGGATAAACACGACAAACTTGCACATGAACTCTCCAAAAACACCGCTAAACCATTCAAATGGCTTATTTGCTATCAACAAACCGTAATGCCAAATCTGCACCGCCATGTCAAACACTGTTGTCAACAGGTCAGCGACTGCCATGTTGATGATGTAGTAATTCATGATCGTCTGTGTTCGGGGATAGTTGACGATGGCCCCGATGAGGATGCTGTTACCAAATATGGACATGATAAAAAGGATCGTATATGCCAACAGTTGACAAACGGGTAGGAGCGGAGACGAGTTGGAGATCACGCAGTGAGTGAGTAAATCGGTGGTATTCAAGGTAATGTTGTCATTCATTTTTTTTTTCTATGAAGTGAGAGTAAGTAAGTAAGTTGATCTATTCAGAATAACTCCAATAGATTTACAGATATCAATTCGGTTTTAACAATTTATTCACAACAATTGCAAGAGAACTTCAGTATAATCTTATCTATTGGGGTAACGGTAAGATTCATTACGTTTGGCAGAACTGTGACTAATCCCGGGGTTAGGTTATTTTGATTAACACTTTGAAACACTCATGGAAGGGAAGGATAAAGTCTTCATATTTACTGAAAATTCAGCCTAAGTCTATCATCACTACAAGTATATCACCTTCAACACTCCTACCCCTTTGAAAAGAAATTGAGAAAGATCGAGTTATATGTTTGAGCTTAAAGCTTCCAACTGCCAAGAAATAGAAATATTCCAAGAAAATATCATGAGCGAATTTGAAGAAAATCGCCCTGATTTCGTACTAATTTCGATTTTTATCATTTGTTGGTCTATATGTATGACACTTAATCATATCCCTGTTCTTAAAGCCTTATTTAAAACACTTTGTTTTAATTCACAAACCGGATGGTTTTCTGATCTGACATGTAGATTAAAAATGACAGATTAAAAAAAACAAAATAAAAAATCCTGAGTCTGGTCAAAATCTAAGGACTGAAGCAACTTCTACTTGTAGGGATGACCTTGAGAAAAGTTTTTCTTCGATGTGAAGGGGGGAGGGGGAGGGGGAGGGAGGGTTCCCTTTGCAGGAATTTTCTTATAGCCTCTCCCTCCTCACTCTGATAATAATGTTTATAATTGTGCCCCAAAAAATGGTTTTTTGAGAGAGAAATTGCGAACTGCAACGACTTTTTCTGAGCAGAGCTGTGGTCTATAGCGGCGATTCAGGTTAAACAGCTGACTGATATTGTAAATTAAATAATTAAATTCTTAGATTTTTTGCAGAAGCAAGTAGGGCCTTTTAATTTTTTTCGGGCAGATGATAGTTATGTGGCAAGTAGAAGAGTAGAAGCTAAGGAGCCATTCAGGAGTAATCTTACAGAAGAAGATAAACAAAATCTGGCCATCAATCAAACCTGTTGACGAAAGAGGTGACCGAAACAAAAGATGACTTCATGGTCGGCAAAAGTCGGGAGAAGTTTAACGAAATTGGATTTTTTTCTACTACATATCACTTGCTATTACCAATGTACAATTTTCATCAAAACAATTTTATCCTCCAGGAGACACTCCGATCAGCGTTTTTTTTTACGTGTACGTCTGTGTAAGCAGAAGGAGAAAGTATCTTTGTGTTTGTGTTTACATTGCTGTGTTGAGAGTAAAGCAGCGAGCCAGAATGATCGGGAGTAACTTGGAGATCAGTTTACTTTTACAGTGAATAGGTAACTGAAAACTTTAACAACACAGCTGAAAGACAGCCAAGTCAAATATAGGATCGACAGGAGTCCGGCAAACTTAATATCATTTTAGTCTTTTCTTCGATAATTTACAAAATTTTTGCTTTACCAATGTATACTTTTATTCAGAACATTTTTACGTTCCACCTAGCTCATATTTAAATTATTCACCTTCATGTTGCGAGTAAGCTAACAGAAACGCACTCGAAAACACACAGATCAGATGTCTTTGCTTAGACAGGGACGAATGAGTAGGTGACACACTACACAAAACATTTGAAAGACAATCCAGTTTGCCTTTGTGTAATAAAAACAACAATCAGGGTTTTTCAAGCCCTAACGACGTTCATCCTCTCGATATGTAGAGACAGATTTTCTTACTAATTAGGCTGAGATTAACGTAACACATAAGGAAATGGTTGGTTGCCTACAAGTCGAAGAGTTACCTGAAATTACAACAATTTTTATTGCCATTCAAATTTAACTCCACGAAAAGCTACACTTTTATTTGAATTCGGATGGTTGTCCTTTCATATCCTTCTGATGTTTTCTTTTATCCCTTGACCTATATCTCTGCTACACGAATATATTAAAAAATAACCTTTCAGCAAGCCTGATGTAAACTTTGATTTATGTCATATTTTCCCAAATATAAGACATGCACTTTTGTAAACCACTTTCCTGGCTCCTCAAAAACTTTTGCACTAGAAGAAAAAAACTGCCTGCGTTAAGCTTTTTTGTAGAATTTAGCCCAGTGACATATTAAGACCCGAAAAGGAGAGAAGAGAGGAAACAACTGCCGATGGAAAGGAAAACTGTTTGTGATCAAAGAGAAACGAAGCAGACATTCTAATTTGAAATAAATGAGAAAATAAATCTTAAAACTTTAGGTTCTTTTTCGCGTTGTTTTTCAGATGGAACAACTTAAGATTACATCTTTCCTTACCTTTTCTTTGAGCTGGCGAAGCAATGAAAAGACTCAAGAGAACTTGTTACTATCAGTTTATCTCTTCCAGGAGCAAACCAATACAGTCCACAGATTGCAGTCTGTATTGAAGTGTGAAAATGAAAACGATACAAACTGATAACGACGATTTCAGCTCATTTTCTTGGGGTTAACCTATCTGGCTCGGTTTATATCACGGTGAAATTTGTTGTTTCAGCCGTCGAAAGCTAGGAAAAAAAAAATAAGCTCCAGCCTTGGCGAGCGTCTTTTGAGAAAAGCTTAAAACAAAATTTCTTGTTTGCTAAAAAGTGGCACTGCGTATATTCACTCGTACTGTATCGCTGAGTGGACACCTATTACACTGTAAAGATTGCCTAACCCTTTTTAAGATCAAAACTACAATCGCACTAGCAGCTGCATATATAACCAAGATAAGCTTAAAGAGGACGAAAAATATATATTTATATTTCTTCCGACAATCTCTTGACATTGGACCAAACCCGCCTGACAGAAGATAAATGTTCATTATTTGATTCCAAAGAATATGGAAAGAAGTCTTAATTATATATTTCTTTTTGCTTTTAATAACAATTAAACGAGCATCTGATGTATATTTTTCATTCTTCGTGTTCTTGAGCTTTGTTACTTTGTCAGATATGAGCGGCTTGAAAAAAATATGGCCTCGGTATTGATTTTCGCTTAAAAAGTAAATAACAATTAAGGAGATGTAGACTATACTACAAACTTTTATGTGATACGTACTATGAATAAAAATCCCAGTATTTGTACATTGCAGCGCTGTAACAATGCATAAAATGAACCATTCGCAAGTTTTTCCTACACGCAAATGCCGCAAATGAAAATCACATCCGTTCAATAAGAACTGATTTATAGACTGAACTAATTGTATTTTTCGGCTTATGGTGGTCAATTTTGGCAAAATAATTTACATTGCATAAAGATTGCCTTTTAGAGGTATTTGCTGAAATAAATAATCCAACAATGGATGTAAATTATTGTAAAGAAAATAACCTCGACTTTTTTTTAACGGCTTCCTAGAAACAAACCGTTTTTAGGATTGACAATTTGTAATAAATCACAGAACCATTTAAAGCTTGCAGTCATCTTAAAACTACCAAGATTGAATATTAAAAAATGAGGCCTGATGAAGGTGCAGGAATTATCACTAAAATCATATTTATTCTATCATTTAGATTGGAAAAATTTCGTGGTTCTTTGCACTGCTCTGCTCTAACAAATACTTTGGCACTTATTCTCGGAATATATAATTCGCTGTAAACTGTTTTTAAGAGCGACAGTTAGATTGGCCGTAATTTTCATTGAATTTATTAAGTTTCAGAGCAAAAATATCTATAAAGCTAACCAGTGACTGATGTTTTGATAAGTAACCGGTTTTCTCCCTCTGAAAACTGAGTGACTTTAAGGAGATGAGCCGGATGTAGAAATAAGTGTGCATGTATTACGAAACTACTTCAAGTTCTCAGGAACAATTCAGGTATATTTTAGCACTGTTTATTTTCCCATGTGAAGACCATCAATGTACAAACTGAATTGGTGTTACAACGATGAAAAATCAAAGCCTTAATAAATAATGTCATCTTTGTATTTTTTTTGTCGTTCAAGTGTCGCGTGATTCTTAGTGGATGCGAGGCATTCGCGTGGGGCTTAATACAACGGAAATAATTTAGGTCAGAAACTCATAATTGCATTTCTTATGCTACTCATGATTAAGAGAAAGGAACTGGCGTTGCAGCTCGAACTAGGAACTTAAGTATTTATTTCCGTCTTATTGATACTGCATGGCTCAATATTACAGATTATCAAGACCCACAGATAAAGGGAAAAAAAAAACGGTTCTTAAATATTCCCTGGGAGACAGACCAAACAAACCAGAGGCCAGAAAAGCAATGCATGATGAGAATTTCATCAATCTTGCCTCTTCTGTTTCAAAATACGTTTGCAAAGCGAATCATAAGTCCTTACGTTTGTTTTCTCACGAATATTAGCCAAAAAATTATCACCTGCTTGCGATATTAAACGGCCAGCCCCTCCCTCTAGAGCGGCCCCACACACCCCCATTGAGGGAATTGAGGCAGAGAGTAAAAAAAGGTGGACGAGGTCAATTGACATGCACTCCATATATGAAACCTTCGAATTGTGCAAATTCATTATCCACCCGCTGAATTAACAAATCTGTGTTCAAAAGTACTAAAGAGCCCTTCCTATACAAACGACGATGAAAGTAGCTGCCAAAACTAAGATAATGGCGAATTGCTTGCAACTCAGCTAAATATGTTTCCAGAAAATGAAAAAAGGTCATTATGTCCTGTACAGGGATTCCGTATACCGCTGACTCTGACTTTTCAATGTTCTTATGTGAAAAGCCGTTCATTTTTTCACAGCTGTAATGATCAAGTTTTAATCATCTGTTTACGATACACAAAAAAATCACGAAGACCAGGTCAGATGCTTAATGCTGGAAACGAACGGTAATAATACCTTTCCTCGACGATTTCAAGCTAGATCGCAAATTCAAATTACAAAGAAGATTGGGTTATCTCCTTCATCTCCTTTATCTCGCGGATCAGAGGTGTTCTTCGCTCTTGTTCTCGTGATGTCTCTTCGAAGCCCAAATCAGTCTGATTCTAGATCAGCTAGATCGCTAATTCTAATTACAAAGAAGATTTGCTATTTCGAGTTTTTTTTATATTTTGGGGACGCCATAACAGACACTTTTCTTAGGTATTTGTTGAGCGGATATTTGATTATCAACAGTTAAAAGTACTAAAAACGCAAAGGAATTTTTTTTTCCTTACGTCTGAAAGCTGTTGTATCCATTTTAATAGTACCGATTAAATTTCAAAGCCCTATTACTTTTAGAGACTACCTTTTTTATCAAACAACAAATAACATTTTTGTCTTTTTATTTTTTCGACATTGAATTGAAATTTAATTTCTCGTTGTGACTGTAGAGTGGTAACAGGATCCGCCTCGGAGAATCCATAAGCGATGACATTCAGGTCGGAGAGGCTCTATAGTACAGATAAATAGATTAAAAATTGTATTGTTATCGTGAAAGTCACAAGATTCAACCCAGTTGATATTCATTTTTCAATAAGGTTGAATTCCCGGAACAGTTCCCCTTCTGCAAAGCAAATAAATGATTAATTTGTTCATTCTCATGGAAAGAACTGGTCTCTTATTGTGAGCACGTAAATTGCACTTGTGAATGGCGTTAGGAATTGAATGGAGACATCCTTAGCGGTGACTGGGTTATCTCCTTCATCTCCTTTATCTCGCGGATCAGAAGCGTTCTTCGTTCTTGTCCTCGTGATGTCTCTTCGAAGCCCAAATCAGTCTGTCTCACGGTGTTCTGATTTGTTTCTATAATTGGTACGCGACTTCCATGCATTGTGGGAAAGCATGCCCCTTTAGCACCCCTCAGAGAAGCACGACACTCTTTGTTGAAGATGGCATAAATACATGGATTTATAGCGGAATTGGCATGACCAAGGAAAAGACCCAAGAATGAAACGTACTCAGGCGGGCAGCCGTGAATGATGGAGAGCAAAGACAAATAAGTGTAGTATGGAAGCCAACAGAGTCCAAAGACGATCACAATTGTGATGAGCATTCTGAGAACGCGTTTCTTTGTGACAAGCTCTACGGACTGATTTGGGGCAGTGATGTTTCCTGGAACTTGCCTCTTCCAAACCTTTCGAACAACAGCTGTGTACAGCATAGTGACAGCAACAAGGGGTATCGCGTACAGTATAGTTAGCAGAAAGATGGTGTAGTTCCTGTGAGACTTCTTACTGTCAAATGCAGGCGTCCAATCCTCGATACAATGGAGCGTGCCATCTGGTTTCTCGATGACTCTCATGGCGTACAACATTGGCGAGGCGGTGACCGTGGAGACCAACCAAATAATAACTATGGTTAAGGTGGACAGAGACTTTGTGGTACCCATTTTGAGTGGGAAAAAGACAGCAAAGTACCGATTTACGGCCATGGCGACAAGTGTTAGGACTGAGCAAGCCATGGAGAGACCCTGAACAAAAACAATAGTCTTACAAAGAATGACACCGCCAGCTCCATCCAACCAGAAAACTTGCTGTCCAGTGGAATATTTGATATGGATCCAGATTTCTATCGTCATGTTAAACAAAGACGTCAGTAAATCAGCCATTGCCATAGACACAATAAACTGATTGATAGCGACAGATCGTAAGCGGCGGTCTCTTAGCATGAGCACCACCACGAGAAAGTTTCCTACGGTTGACAGAATGAAAATACACAGGTATGCGACTGCTTTAGCGATCTCGGCAGCTTCTCCTTTAGTGAGATCTGAACCAGGGTCAGGACAGGAACTGGTGTTGTTTGACGCCATAGCTTTAAATAGGAAAAATATATAAATGAAATAATAACATTACTTTAAACTTCATAATCATTGAGCTTCATCACCTCGTGAATTAACAAACGTGATCTCTTCCATGACCTCAGTATAAAGGTTCAGCAACTAACTTGTGCCTTTGTAGATGTATCAATTTTATGAAAATTAAGTACTTATTATATTTTGGGAATGAAAGCGTTGAGGCTGAAATTAAGACCCCATGTATCACTCCTAGCAAGGCAAGAATAAATTGGCTCCCTTGCCTCACAGATACCCACTGGCTTCCTTAGTTTTCGGTTTCATATCCAAGTTGAAACCTGAAAATTGTTTGTATTGCAGTTTTAATGTGGTTTACCCTTCTGATGTCTAGTAGGTCAAAGTTGATCATTTTTTCCATACAACTGTGTACAATGGAATCGTGAACAACTTCCAATGACGATGAATCTTTCGGAAGTTTCAAAAAGTCATTATACGAACCATTTTCAAATTGATTTTTTTAACCTAAAATCATAGTATTTAAATTTCAGACAGTCAAACATCTTCGTCGTGTTTGATTAATGATCGAAAAATTCATATGGACCTTTTTTAATGGGGTTGAATAATTTAGTTTTTTAGTTAAAATAAGTGCATAGTTCTGTACTATCCAAAAGATAGTTATTCTTACAATTTTGATTTGGAACGATAAACTCGTCTCGCAGACATGATCTGACATATGTAAACTCTTTCAACATTATCTTCCTCTCTAATTTTCGTCTTCTTTACCACGAGATTAAAAAACAAGGAAATATGTGTCAAAATGTCTTTTCAATGAAAGAAAAAGGAAAAGCGTAAACGTTTGCTTTGATTACTTTGACTTAAAGACAAGTACGTTGTCTGCATAACACAGATCATTAACATAAATGGTACACAAGTAGAAAATTTTGAGAATAGCTTTTCGTTAGAGAATATTTGCTGTTTTATGAATTAGACATGAGAAGAGAATTTTTTTTTTTTGCGACGAGATAGGCCATTTTGGAAGGTAGGGACCTGTTGAAATATGAGTTGGCTCACTACAAACAAAATAAATTCGTGACAAACCAAGGCGAAATAAAAGTTGGCACTGAGTGCGTGAGCGCACCACATGAATTAAAAATAAAGAAAAATATATTTAACGAAGAATAAAAGGAATTGAGATGTAAAAGATGAAAAAACAAATCATAACAAAACAAAACAAAAAAAAAACTGATAGATCACCTTAACAGCACTGCTTTCGCTCTTGTTCTTAGAGAAAAAATTTAGCAGCATTACTAAATAGCTTCAACAATCTTACCTAAATGTTTTCATAGCTGAAGCCAGCAGAATGTTAAAAGCATTATATAGACTTGCTATCAGTGATCAGCGGATAAAGAACAACAAAGGTTCGCTTGAACTGATGTCATGGATAGATTTTTCATCACTGTTTTCTCTATTCATATTCAAACAGGAATTGTATTTCAAAGGCTATCTTCAGGATCTGACCTCAAACAAATTAATTTCAGCATGAACAACTTCCTCTCAATTTTCTCCCTCATAGCAATACTTGTGTCGAGCTAAATCTTAATGCTCGAAGAAAGTTAGCTTGAAATAAATTTTATATTGCCGGCCTCCTTCTTTTCATTTTGTTTGATTTTGCTCCACCATTCTGTTGAGTCGGGACTAGTTCATATCAGTAGCCGATATCGAAACGTGATCGAGGCAATGCACGGAAGGGTTAAACTGATCCACATCACGTTGAACCATTTCAAAGCGTATCTTCATCTTAAAATAAATGGAAACTAAGTGAAATAAGCCCTGTCCACAGTTATTTTTTAAAACTGATAACTTGAATTGGAGAACTGTTCCTGAGGAGAGAGTTTCAGATGTACTGTGGAAACTCCGTCAGTTCATCTCCGTTTGAAACCTACGCCCTAGAACCATTTTATCTTTAGAGCGGCTGATCTCGTAGAAAGCTCAGTATGAAGTGACACGTTTATTGCTTTTCATTCACCGCGTTCCAACTGAGGCGGCTATGGGAGTAAATCCTTTATAAATCCTTCAATGGAAACTAATTATACTATCCTCCTTACCTTCATAGAAGAAAAAAGAGTGGAACAAAGAGCTTTATCGTTCTGTTCGAAGTAGTAGATTACAAGGATGATGTTCCGCTCTGTCGCCTTTCTGTTTTGACAATTTTAGCATAATTTGTCAGGCTCCTTTTGACATTTAAGTAGAGATCAGCCTACGTTTCGGCGCCGTTACGTCTAATTTTGCTTCTATCCAGAGTTAAAGAAATGATGTAAACTAAATCAATATAAGTTTGTTATCAGGGTTACATTAATCAAATCCTCGTGAGTTGGAGATTAAAATAGTAATTCGCGCCGTGTTTTCCATTATCACGAACGGCACTAATGCAAACAAACGTTCCAATCTTGTAGTGAGAAGCGATTCCTATTGGACAGGCGACAGAACTATATTTGCTCTTAAAGTAAACGGTACAGCTGGAAACGGAAGGGTTAGCTTAAAAGGTAAAAATTTTACAATCAGGACTTAAAACCCACATGGCTCATTTCACGGTGTCAATAGGGAATTGTTAATCTTGCTTCCTTCATTTTTTATTTTGAAAAAAAGGAGACATGCTTGGATGACAACAAAAATTAAATACACTATTCACCAAGTTCATAAACGTCACTGTAATCTGCGCTTTACATATGTAATGAAAACACTGTTTTCTTTCGTGTACCGCCAATGACTTCTCTTTTGAAAATGTGTTATCCTTGGTTATCGATCAGAAATAAGTTTATTTAGATATACAAAGCAGAAACGTCATAGCTCTTGATGCAGGTGAAGAGGGGGTGAAAAAAAAAGGCAAAATTGTGAAGTCAAAGGAAGGGATTGAAAGATAAATATCTGCCTCGCAGTTCTTTCCGCTGTATTTAAATGTGTCACGTATTTCTGACGGAAAAATTGGAAAAAGCACCGACAACAATTACGCGCTCTTCAGAGCCGGAACAGTTTGGCAAGTTTAATAATACCATTGCACTTATATGCTTCTCGTCAAAAGATAATGACGCTATGGGGAAAATCAAACTAGATCAACATCTGTCGCAAAGACGTTTCCTTCTTAGGGTTCCCAGCCCAAAACAGTGTACAGCCATTCCTATTCTTCATAAAGAGCTTGAAATTTACAAATCCGACGGGTACATCAGTAGAGAAATTTCCTTAATAATATAAACTTTCTGGCTAAATTAATCAATCTTATGGAGGATTTTGTGGACATTATATATAACAATTTTCGGTAAGTTTCGAACAACAGCATTTTTATTCCTATCTTCGACGTAGCAGTCGGTGATTTTCAACTAAAAGTCAGCGCTCTTGGGCAGGGGTTAAAAGCCGAACTCTTCCTGAGCGGCCAAACCGAACGAAATCAATACCGCTGATCATGAGCACGCTTGTTGACCTAGAGGCCGATTTTGAGAAGCCGCTCCACAAACCTTCCCTCAAACGTTTCTAGATTTGTAACGTTTTAGGAAAAATATGTCATCACAATTTATGCATTGACTTCAAGGACAAAGTACTTGGATGAGCTTATTAAAGGTCCATGTTTGACTTGTTATGTGGAGTTGAAAAAAAACTTCAAGAGGGAGTGAGTTTGCCCCAGGACATCTCTGCTCTAAGGATATGCAGCCAAGTACATGCTTGTTTTATCTTGTTTTAACGAGAATAAGGACGTGGGGATACTATAGCGTGCGTGCTGGGTCAGATCAATTTTCAGATTCCCTGATAGAAAACTAGATGAACTGATACCTGATATCCCGGAAATATTTGTGTTCAATCAACAATCTTTTTTTCTATATCACGGTCTCCATAAATTTCTCGATTAGAGGAAGATGCGGGATCAGACCTTCTGCTAATTACACAAATTGATTTTAGAGATATCATCTCTGCAAACAAACATTATTCCTTTGGAAATTTGTTTTCACTGAAACTAACTCCATTAGGCTAATGAGTGATTAACAACATAAGACTTTTACTGCTTCCAAAAACACTGAACGAATGAGAAGTTGATGCTCAAAGGCTCACTTTCAAAAAATGTAACAGCATATTTTAAACAAAACCATTTTGGGAAAAAAATTCGGTTTAAACTTTGTATTTCTCATTCAAAATGTTTTTCTTTCAATGATTTTTATCGTTATTACCTGTTGAGCTGCCTCAGAAAATATATCGATGGGACAAGACAATATCAGTATTACATCATATACATGGATGGAAAGATTTCATCAAATTACTTTTTCGAGACTGAAAGCCATGCCTCGATCGTCTAAATTAATAGCTCTACCTTTTAATGTTATCATGGAATCAAACCAATCTAACATTGTGTGTTAGCCAATCGTAACTGGCCCTAAGCCCAACACACACGACTTGCCAATTCCGACATTTCCTTAACTTCAGTCAAAGAAGTCAACCTCTTAATTATCTTCAGCCCACGATAACGATGTGTTACCGAATGGCGATTCTCTGTTAAATCCAAGCTGGGGCGTGCTTCGTATACCAGGGAGATCATCAGAAAGGAAAGTCAGGCAACACTTCCCGATATTCTTGAAGCCATTTATGATTTCACGACAAATGCGATGTAGATTAATGGATTTATTGCACAGTTGACAATAGACAAAAGAAGGACAAGGAAGTGCAGAGTTGAATTCAAACAAAACGAACTACTGTAAAGTTCAATCATGGTGTAAACTTTGATTGGAAGCCAGTATAATGAGAATATGAGAACAGCTATAATGAGCATCTTAGGGAAGTTCTCTTTTGCTTTAATCTCTACCTGTTGATTGGCTATCGTCGCGTTGCCTTGGCATTTTTTTTGCATCCATATTCTGTAAATAATGGCTGTGTAAAGAATAATGATTTCCAACAGGGGCAGAGCGAAAACATGATGAAATTCAGCTGTTGTGTAGATTGTATTATAGTACGTTGGGATGGTTGGTTCCCATATTTCCACATGTACACAGTTACACCGTAATCAGCGAGGTCATGGACGTAAAGAAAGATGCACCCTGGTAATGTTGGGCGAAGTTATGAGGCGATTATTAGCTGGACTGCTTTATGAGAAACAATTGGTCCACGTAGAGGGAAAAATACAGCGATGAATCGATCAGCAACGATCAACGCAATCGTTAAAATAGCAGCATTGTTGGTCCAAGCTTCAAAGAATCGTTGGATCTTGCAAAGAATCTTACCAGGCCAACCTGTATAACGCAAGAAGCAGGCGAAGTGAATTTGCGACACATTTTGATAACGCGTCTTCATTACTGAAACTTGGCTAAGAGTAAACATGAATTTAGCAAATCAAGGAAATAAACTATGTTAAATAGATTTACCTCGGATAACCCCAGGCCCTCTCCCTAAAAAACGGCAGGCTAGAAAGGATCTCAAAAGCATGATGGTAGATCTTATCACGAGGAAGAAGACCACAGATTAATATGAATAAAACAATTCTGTCCAAAGTAGTTAATTTTCGAATTCTTATTTTAAGGAAAAGGAATAAATGTCTTTAATGTGACGATTCAGCAACAGGACTGTCTAATTTACCAGCACCTTGAAAATGTGGCCAATGAAAGTTAGAACAGATTTTAAGGGTCACTGAATTTTAGATCTAACCAATGTTAAACAATCAAAGTCAAATCAAGATTTTGTTAACAGCCCAATTTCAGATCAAATACAAAAATGAATACATCGATCGAAAGGAGAGAGTGCTCTTCTCGGCTATTTTACGACTAATGTTTCGTTACTGGAATAGAAATCCAGGCGACATACTATTTGTCTAAGTTTACAATGCACCTAAGGAGCTACAACCAAACAAAAGAATAAAGCAATAGTAGATTTATGCATTTTTTATCGAATTAATTCAAGGGTAATCGCGTGTCTACATGCAAATGGTATTAGCCTCGTGCTACTTGCGCGGACTGATAGATATTACTCGCCCGAATTCTCCCGAATGAATTTTGTTCAACTCTTGATTAATCCTATTATATATCATACCCAGTTAAGAAAAGAACAAAAAGGAACAATACAGCAAAAGTACTTTGTTCTCCCGTGTCTTTTTGGGTTTCGATGATTAAAACCTGCTGTACAACTCATTCACAACCGATATCCTAGCAGAAAACGGTGTCCATTATCAGCTGTTATAATCCATCAAATTTTTACGCTTGCGTGTGATTGGTCTAAACGTCTCACGTGACCGAACATGCCCCGGTGACGACTGGAGAATATTCGAAAATATACTTAGAATGGTATTCGCCAATTTTCAAACCTGACGTCTATTGCGATAATGGCGTTCGTTTAAGGCGTTTAGTTACTGTTAGGGCGTTAAAGGGCATTTAGCTGTTGTTAAAGAAGAAGGAACATGTTTGTCTGATCGTAACGTTGTACCAGAGAACACTGAAAAGTAAATATTCCAAGCGCGGCAAACAGTAAACTGTTCGTATACATTTACCGGCGCGTTGCTCAAATACTAGAAGGATAAGAAACTCGTTAGCTTGTAATAGACGCTAAGACATGCACGGATGTCCATGGACATTATCTGTTCCTCGAGGCTCACAGTTTTCCCTCGAGCTTTGCTCTCGGAAAACTGTCTGCATTCGGAAACATCCAATACTGTCTGTGGAAAAATATCCGTTTATGTTTTCTCGCCAAATAGAGGCTTCATTAACTTATCAGTATCAATGAAGAAATGTAAAATGGTTTCCGTGTTTACATAGCCTGATGTAAACACGCGGGAGGTTGGGAGAACACGAGATAAGCGTAGGAAACTACGACGCGAGGCGAGGCGAGTTACAATTCATAGACCCAACGTTTCGAGGAGTGTCGAAACGTTGGGTCTATGAATTGTAACTTCTTCGGTTACATTCATTAAATCTGCAAACCAGAGTAGCATCAAACCATGTCTAATTCCATCGTGTCCTGTTTCAATTTTGGTTTGCATATTCGGACAATGGCAGATGTGCCTAAAGCTAAGGGAACTTTCCAAAAGAAAAAGAACAGAGAATGAATTAATTAAGAGCCATAGAGCTGATGAATTTGCCGTACTAATTGAAAGGGAAAAGGGACTCCATTGCAGATCAATGGGATTGTATATCACTAGTTGTGGAGCTTTGTTCCTTGCACGATGTAAGGTAAAGTGTAAAAGATGATAATAATGATAACGACATTATTCATTATTGTGATGATAACAGCATAATAGAGTAAGATCTGAATGAGTAGATTTGTCTGTTTTGGATAAATCGTGGTGATACACATACACATACACATACTTCACGATAAATCGTGAAGATAGTACTTGGAAAAGACCAATAGAACTAGTCCCTGGTGGTGATCATGGATCTTTGATCTGCCTCAAGGTAAAATAGAACGTGGTCTTGTCTAACAAGGACAGAAAGAGGTGCGATTGGCTGTGAACCTTTTGCTCGTTACACGAGATGACTCAAAAAGAGACAGAAAAACAGGAATTCGAAGCGGCTGTCGAAAATATTTGTTCCTGAAATGTATTGTAGTTATAGAAAGACTGATTACAAAAATGGTCCAGAAGGAAAAGAAAGCTAGTTCTAGCTACAATAAATTTTCGACATTGAAATTTACAATGTCGCTTATATCAATGCCTTTCCATAGACATAACAGACTGTATATGATAGGAACATGAAATTCCAATGAGGAAATGTAGCTGCTTTACCATATTTAGAGAGAATTTTTCTGGAGACCGCGTGAAATCAAAAAAATGTGGCACATGCCTAGAAAAAGCCCTACCTTCATACTTCGCTCAAAGATACCTTAGGGTAAGTCTATAAACGTGGTATAATTTTTTTGTTCAGAACTTTTTTTATTTTCTAGAAAATCACCAAACACTATATCGAGCCCCAACCGCCATAACAGTGGCCGAAATGAAGCCGACGAGTAGGGCAACAAAAACGTTATTCTTCAAAAGCGCAAAAGAAAGCAAGTCTTTCCGAATATTATCTATTTGTATACGAGGTATTAACAAATGATTTGAATCTAATAACGGGATTATTGACATAACTATGAATTATTGGCGAATATTTGAAAATCGCCAAAATTTGATTGATTAAAAATTTCATTTTGGAGCAGTTTTTCAATAAAAAATTTTCCTACTCGGTATAACTCGGAATCACTTGAGATGAGCATTTCTGAAAATTGGAAACGATGTTCTTTTCAAGGATATAAAAATTAATTTGGGGCTCTTAATTACTGCGAAGAAATAGCCCGATCTATTTCGTGCAAATCGCAACGCCGCCGTGTAAACAACCGCAGATAATCCAATTATTCTTTTATTATCGAAGCCATAATTTCTGCAAAATCTTACCGCTTTGAGCTGTGCTTTATCAGAAACTCAATATGTTACCCTTACCTTCTGAAAGCAGTGATTAAGGAGTGATGTTTCCATTATTTTTGTTTCAAATCGCCATGTTCACTTGAAAAGTGTTTACAACGTCCGGCTTGACCATTTACAATACTCGGAGCTGTTCATAAATCATCGCAAACCATCGCAACTCTTGACTTATTTCTGCTTCCATACAACTCCAGTATATACAAAAGTCTTTTTAGCACGATAAACCAAGATGCTTTGATTGCTTACAGTTTCAGTTAAGAAACGTTTGGCTCCCCAAATGGCACAACGATGTTCACCAACGAAGTCGTGTGTCATCACTCATGTTTGTCACGCAATCACGCTAAACGTGCACAGGACACCCAGACAGGCATTCGTCTGCAGACATCGCTGTACCGAGTGCAGGGCCAACTAATATTTATTTCTTAGTCAGTGTTATGTTTTAAACAAAAACCTGCGCGAATTCACTTAAAAAACGCTGTAGATCTCTTTTGAGTGTTTTGAATCAGTGCCATTCTGAAAAACTACTTTTTGACGTCTTCGTAAATTTAGTCACCCCCTGGTACTGACTATACATGCGTTGTTATCGACTCTATTTCCACGACTTCGCGCTTGCAAAGATTCTATTTATCAATAGGCACTTTAAGCATGACGTTTAACGGCAAACGGCAAACGCAAGCTTGCCTTTCATTTTGCTACCTATTTATGGAATTCTTAAAAAAATCCTGCACAAAAAATAAAATAAAATAAAATAACACATTCACGACAAACACAAACCTACTTAATTCCGTGTACACACGCCTAGAGACAGAAATTGAATTTTTGACGTTCGCGGGAAAAACAAACGTCATGCGTAACCTCTCAAATGACGAACTTCCCAGTTAACTAAAACAACTGGAAGTTAATTGTCTAGTGCTCCGTGATTATATACATCACCTAACGTGTCCCTAGTGGATCGATAAGGTCTACCATGACCTTCAGTGGCAGGCAGACAGGTTCCACGGTGAGGCGTTCTTTTCTAATGACACTGGAAAAATTCTACCGACTATGTAAACTGAACAACAGACTAACAATTTCGTGTTTTATCTAAGCACTTTGAACGTTAAACTTCACTAAAAACGTAAATCTTCGAGTCACAAAGTCGGCCGCTTGTATCAGGCCGCGAGACATTACGTGTTATTTGATATCGCCTGACTGTAGGTCATTACAATTACATTTTTTAAAGCTTTGGACTTAATCAATCTCTGTTTTTTGTTTTTGTTGTTGTTGTTTTTTTAATTTTCCTTACGATAGCGTGCTCATCAATTTAAACCTTTCGATTTTGTACCTTGATTGCTACGATGATAATGGCCATCGCTAGAAACGTGACAGTTTTCTCAACTCGAACTCGGAAAAAGTTGTTTCCCGTGCCTTAATCAAACAATTAATCGGCCATTCTTTGAGATCCCGAATTCTCGACAAGACAGAGGCGGCGTACCCTCGGAGATTCAAGAAATCAGGAAGTTCCTCCATACCAGCAGACTGAATGGGTTTTATAAAGCAAAAAAAGAAAGAAAGAAAGAAAGGAAAAGAATACAGTGTCATATACTTTAGGTGTTTTCCTGGTCAATGAAACCAATATTCAAGCTACATGTAGTTCGTCACTACTGACAGGTACAGCCAAAACAAAGGGCTTCGATCTTGCTCACGTAAGGCTGCTTACGATGAACGGAGATATCGAGATACCGAAATATTGGAAGGCAACGTGAATATCGATGCCCGTGCTAAAATGAGATCGACTTCCGATTCAACATCATTCACGCCCACAGCCTGTTTGTGTGCTGAGATGTCTTTCTCACATAAGCGCAGAGAGACTATAAGAGAAGCTTTTCCTGCAACTCGACTTCGCTTATCTTGGGAGCAGCATCCCCCAACTAATCTTTGAAAGGAGCAATTGATTTCCATTTGGTACACTCACCTCTTAAAAAAATCGGCGGCCCAACGAAAACACCATTTTAGTTTGCTTTGGAAAATTTATGGCGCGACGCTCATTATATGGT